TAGAAAAAAATTAATTTTAGTCATAATCTAATAACTTTTTTTTAACATTTGAGGCGAGAGGTGTGGCGAAAGGACCTCCTTAAGTATGCACCAATATTTCCAAAATTAACTCCAGTATGATTCATTCAATAAATGTAAATATGAATGGGCAAAACGTCTTTATATTGACATAATTGTAACTTACCTTTTATCCATAATAAAGGGATTTTGCCCACTTTGACCAATCCTAATTGAAATACGCGAATTTATTATATTTTTTAAATATAATTAAATTAAATTAAAATATAATTTCAAAAAGGTATGCTGACTTTCGATTCAAAATTCGTCCAAACCGCGCATGACGTAATGAAGGACGAAGTTTCAAGTTATTTTGACACTTTTCGATTGAGTAGTGTAAAATAATTTAATAATTTATATGTTTTTGTGTTAGTAGTGACTATAGTTTCCTATATATAACAGGAAAGAACTAAATAAATGTTTAAAATGTCGGGCTGCCCAGTGAAGATATTACCGAATGCCACAAAATATGGGTAAATTCTTATCGAAGAAAGGACAAACTTAATTGAAATTGCCCTATCCATTTTTAGGAAAGTAGTTGTGAGATTCCTCTTAAACATAGACGCAAGAAAAGGAAACTGAATTCCACCAGGTGCACGGGCCTCATTAAGCAAAGAAAATAAATCAGTATTTAAAATTTTTAGCAGATAAAACAATAGTTTCCTGTCTCAAAACAACGGTCCTTTTGAAGTAATGCCATGCATGAGCAGGACACGAATATATATAAGAATAAGATAAATGAACAGGAAAATTGGTTTTCAGTATTTTCAAAGTAAACTTGACAAAAAATGTTTAAATTTACCAAATAAAAAGTAATATTTACTTACTTTTTGTAAATAAATAATTTGTTTCTGCACACTTATTTTTATTTCACATAATAAGAAAAAAGATTGCAAGAGAACTACTATACCCAGAAAGTACAAATTTAAGTCAAACTTGTATTTTTAGTCTGTATCTATTACGTATCTTATGACCAGGTTATGGATTTTGTCACAAAATATCTATAATTTATGAGAAAAATTAATATTTTTATTAGTATTATTTACCTTAAACCTTCATATTTGTAACCGAATATTTTACAAAATAATCAATAAAACTTAAGTAAGTGCATACAATCTAAAATTGGCAAAATATCGAATTTTAAACACTATCTCCGTCACCGTCAGTCATCTGAATGCGCAGGAATCTTCGAGCATATGCTCGAAGGCAGGAATATACAGTAAGTCTATGTATTGTGTGTTATATTAGGTTAACTGTGACCTAAAAGATCTGGTTTGTCCCCTTCTGTCGCTAAAGTGGCAGGTGGGTAATCTTATCTTCCTAAGGAAGTTTAGGATTTGGAGCGGAGCCACATATTCAGTCAGAATGTTAATGGAGGTTTTGTTCATCTCCTCACAGAATCTGCACTAAGTTTCGTTTACTAATTCGAGTCTATTAACCCGGCGACGGTGTGGTGGGGTATCATACACCCCACACAGTTTAAATAGCGCGCCATTCAACGAATCCGTACACTGTTACCGCGTGGCCTTCAGTACCTTCCGTTTAAACATCTTAGTTGCAGTTTCAGTCAGCGGAGAGCTACCGGTGCGTCTACACGGGACGCTATTAGTGCCGGAACACGCTTGAGGCATCACATATCCCACCACACAGGTAAGTGAATATTTTTTCATAGATGAACAAAACCTTTTGTTTGTAGTTTTTTGCACACGAGGGCACAATTTTTTGAGTATTTTGAATTAATATTTAGCCTATTTTGATTTGAAAATGAAACATGACCTTTTTACATAAAATTTAATTTTTTTTTTGTTCTTTGGTATGGATACACAAATAAACTTTACTCTTGATTGAAAAACTTATGGTTTTTTGGATAGAAATTTAGAAATAATTTTTTACTACATATGTACACATAATAAACAATACATTTTTGTTTTAGTTTTATCATGGCTGGTTCTTATGAGCGCGAACAGAAGCGACTATTATCTATGTGGCAAGATATTCAAGAAGAAGAAGAAGTTGCTATTGGCACAGAGAGAGATGAAGAATCCCATGAAGTGCTCAGCAATCACAGTTCTAAAAGCGAAGAAGACGCAGGTGATGGCCGGATTGGTACCGAAAATGAAGACGTACAAGATGAACAAAAATCAGAGGGAGAAGACATCCAAATAGTCAATCAGAATGAAGATGCACAAAGTGAACAAAATGAAGCAAGCTCAAGATTGTATCTAGGAAAGGATGGTACCAGATGATCTGCAAATCATTTCCCTAAAAATGTAAGGACTTGCTCTGAAAATATTATCACCCATTTGCCTGGGGTAAAAAGAATGGCTAAAGACGCTAAAACTCCAGTTGAGTGCTTCGATTTACTTATTACTCCAGATATGATAAATGATATCGTCATGTGGACAAATGTAAAAATAAGAATCATCAATATATTGTCAAGGAAACAGATGCGTGTGAGATAAGAGCATTGTGTGGCCTGCTTTATTTGTCAGGAGTATTCAAATCTACTAGACTTAATCTTGAAGATCTATGATCAACAGATGGTACGGGGAAAAGTTTGTTTAGAGAAACAATGTCTCTACCAAGGTATATCTTTCTGCGGATCTGTTTACGTTTCGACAATATAGAAAACCGAGAAGAAAGAAGAAAAATTAACAAAATAGCTGCGATTAGAGCAGTTTTTTATCAATTCGTACATAACTCTCAAAATTTGTATACACCTAGCAAGTATCTTACTATAGATGAAAAGCTTGAAGCTTTTAGGGGACGCTAGACAGGACATGCCAAATAAGCCGGCTCGCTATGGGTTGAAAGTATTTGCTCTAGTAGAAACAAAGTCCTACTACGTCCTTAATTTAGAATTATACGTTGGTTTACAACCAGAAGGACCATTTCAGTTGAGCTCCAAACCTACTGATGTCGTCCTTAGACTAATAGCTCCTATTTCCGGTACAAAACGGAATGTAACATTCGACAACTGGTTCACAAGTTATGAGCTTATGCTTACAAGAACGTCAGTTGGAACTATTAGAAAAAATAAAAAAACAGATACTTGCGAGCTTTCTTATGTCTAAAGATAGACCAAAATGTTCTTTGAAATTCGGCTTCCAGAAAGACGTAACCTTAGTATCACATGTTCCCAAAAAAGGAAAGGTGGTTCTTCTCATGTCCACTTTACATCATACTCAAGAAATTGATGAAGAAACTGGTGAAAAGAGAAAACCAAAAATTATCACCTTTTACAATGCGACCAAGAGTGGCGTTGATATTGTCGACGAGCTATCAGCCACATACGACGTGTCACGCAATAGTAAAAGATGGCCACTCTTTTCTACGCTATTCTCAACTGCGCATGAATAAACGCTAGAATTATTTTTAATTTAAACAATGGCTTGGTTATACTGCTATGAAAACAAAAAAAAATTTGAAAACCTTAGCAATTCAGTTATTGACTGAGCACAAGGAACGCAGATCAACCAATAAACGGCTTCCGCGTGAATTACAAACAAAATGGCCTCTACCAGAAAATAGAGAAACGACCTGGAAAAGGCGTAGAATATCTACCAGGTGCGATATGCTCAAGAAAAAAAAACAGGAAGACGTTCTATAGCTGTTCTGGCTGTAGGAAGGTAATTTGCATGGAGCATTCAGTAGTTTTTTGCGACGCTTTGCCTCAGCAGAAATAAATAAACTCAACTTTGTTTCTTTTAGTGGTTTGGCTTATATTTTTACTGTAAGAAAACTATATTTTTGTTATTATTTCTTTATTTTTCTAATACTTAGACTATGTTATTGATATGAGTGATTTTTTTTTTAAATGCCGTATTTATGAATTATGTTTTTTTATGATGTTCTTTCTTAATAAACATCTTTTTAAAAATAGTTCCTTGTTCAATACTGCCTAAATAACCCAAAAATAATTAAAAACTTCAAAAAAATAATAATGTATGTTATTTTGTTTTTTTGCTTTTGGGGTATGTAATACCCCACCACACAGGCTCTTAACAAAATTTCCACCACACTATCGCCGGGTTAAGGTGTCTTTCAATTGGGTAATACCTGATATGGATCGTAGTCTGTTCTTGCTCACACAGCTACAGGCTTTCGACCTTTCCTGATTATAGTCCCAAGAGATCGTTCAAATTTCCAATTTTTATCGATGTTGAACTGGATAATTTTCTCAGTGGCATGAATTTCCACGTGGAAGATGCTGTGTATCTACGTAAACTTTTTGAGTACTAGGTCCATACACTCCTATTATACTTCCTCTTGTGATTTTGGAAGCTTTTTGGCAAAGATAATCGATTATTTGCTCTATTCTTTCATGGTAGTCAGTAAGAGAAATATCAAAAATGTTGAACTACTATAAATTTAGAAGCCGAATCTGCTGAAATAATCATTATTACATTACATTCTTTCGGGAAGGGTTAGTACTTTTTGAGCATTTCTTGGTAATTTATTACTGTAATGCTTTATGCTGTATGCTTTCGCTTTCTTTAAAAGTCCTGCATATTGGCTATGTGCTCTACAAGGTTTCTTCAATCCTCTCTACTTTTATATACATCTTACCTCCATTGATTTTTACCCAAGCTTTTGATGACTATGAAGACTAAAGGTTATGACTTAGATAATCTTCTTAGGCTACGCATTCACTTGAACTGAATATCCAAATTTTGTATTTAAAATGTATTGCGCTTACTCTTAAAGATGTGGTATATAAATTTGCATCCATAGCTTTTTATTTTTTAGCGGATATTTGATACAACCTTGAGTTTTGCAGGAGTTCTAAACTAAATCCTTGTAAATGACTCTTGCTGATCGTCCCGTTAACCATTCCCCAAAATTCCAGCCAGATCTACGATTGTACCACCTTGCGACTGCTAGCTCTCAGTTTATCATTATGACAATACTTTGCATATCTGTCATGCAAGAAGTCAGCTGGATTTTAATGACATTTATACTGATTTTATTTGATACCAAGTTTATTTTACCATTTATCATGTTTAGTCTCTCAAATACTCAGCACAGTATTCGACAGTTTTTTAAAGCTTCGGGCAGAAGAAAAAGATTTATAACAAGAAAATTACTGGGGTATGTTTTAAAAATTGAAATAATTGTGCAATTAAGTTAATAAAGTACTTTTTCTAGTTACTCCTGCAGTGAATTATACTCTGTAGCAGCAGATATAGAAAACTACGACAAATTTTTACCATTTTGTAAAAAATCAACCATTCTAGATAAACAACCAAATAAACTATCAGCTAATCTGGAGATTGGATTTCCACCTATTTCCGAAAATTACACCTCAACAGTATACTTGGAGGAACCTCGTTTGGTTCAGGCTATTTCAACTGATGGAAGGCTCTTCGATTACTTGGAATCCTGCTGGTTGATCAATTATGGCTTGAAAAGTAATCCAAACTCCTGCATTGTAGATTATTCCATTAAGTTTAGTTTTAAATCTGTTTTATATTCTCATATTGCAACAATATTTTTTGACAGACTCGTTCACCAAATGCAAAGTGCTTTTTTGAATGAGGTTGGTCGAAGATATGGTAGACCTTCTATACAAACACGTGAATTAAATTTTGTTAAAGACTAATTTATTTATTAATTTATTTTTTAAAAGTTTAAGAAAACAAATACAACACGTTATGCTACAACTTTTCCAACGTACATATCTTTGCTGTAGCCTTAACATATTGAAAAACATTATTTTGAGCAATAAGTCAAAAAATTATTAGGTACTTAACACAGGTTACCAAAAAGTACTGCAGACTGATAGTAATTTATAATTAAATCTAAATACATGTTAGCAGGTAATTTTTTTTGTTAATTGTAGCATGGTAAAGAACAGCGGAAGTCAAGAGCGGGGAGTGCGTAGAACTAATGCGGTAGTAGCGAACCATCGTCAGCGCTCCTCCAGGCAGAACGATTTGAGTCGCCTTGAGTGTCTAGTGTGATCAGATGTTGTTGCTGTTGGCATTGTGTTCTATATGTAATCACTAAATAATTATTTGACTTAATTAATAAAATCTAACATAACCAAAATTGAAAGAAGATAGAACTACAAAAGCAAGAAATGAATGGGGTCCATCATACGTCAAATGTCAATGTTTTAGCGCTAAAAATTAAGAAAAAAATTATACGAACTGTCTCATTAGTGCGTAATTGTTCAATATTTCAATTTGTGTCATATACACCCAAACAAGTTTCAGAAAAGTTTTATAGATTTGAAAAATACATATTTTAAAAATATTTTTGTATATACAGGGTGTTGTATTTTTGCCTGGAAAATAAACTTGTATATTTTATTTTTAGAATGATTTGATATTACTGTATTTAAACCTAGAATGTTTATTAAAAAATATTAGTTTTGCCAAGCAATTATTTTTTCTTTAATTAGGGACCCCAAACCATAAATTAAATTATCATAATTTATGTAGTTAGATTGATTTTAAAATTGTTTGATATACAGACTTACAGGATACCAAGCTAACTAATAGTGGTGATAGAACTGGTTTATGTTATACAGAGTGTTTTGAAACATGTCTTAAATATGGCTAATTTTAAGTTCAATTTATTCAAATTTTTTTAACACAACACCCTGTATATTATCTTAGCATAAAATTCCTTATAAATTTACCTTTACAATGATACCAATCTGTTAGCTAATAACATATATACAGGGTGTATCATCAGTGCGTAATTGATCGATAGCTGTTTTATTATTGGAAATACGAAGAAATTTGTAATTAAAAAGTTGTATGGCCTAATTTAATAATTATTCTTAAATATACATGGTGGTCCATAAACGAGGTGCTGACCAAATATATACTTTTTTAATGGAAAACGCCCTGCTGGTAGTTAGGTATACATATTTGATTGTTTTCACATCGTCAAATAATTTTAATTGACTTCATTTATTTGCTATGTTGTATATAGGGTATGTTAAAACGTCAAAATCATTAATCATAATAGAAAAACGAAATCAACATGATATATTAAGGAGGTCCTTTCGCCACCAATGTTAAATAAAAAATATTAGATTAAGACTAAAATTAATTTTTTTCTAATAGTAGATGTGCTTATTTATCTAATAGTGAACTTTTAACTATACCTTACCGTGCAAATTTTTGAAATTTTTTTTTTTTTTAAATGTGTGTATTTGTACAGTGTCTTATGAGAAAGTAAGACTTCAACAACAATTTTCGAATTATAATTAATTTTACTATTATTTATTGATTAGATGGAGTAGAAAACAACTAAAAATAAGGTTTTTGAAATATTTAGGTTTTGTTTTTTACAATAAAATATATAGGTTATCGTGGAATTTATTGAGAAATTATTATTAAAAAATCACAAAAACTAGGTTACTTGAAAATTTTTTGTGATTTTTTAATATTAATTTCTCAATAAGTTCCACGGTTTACTATATATATTTTATTGTATGAAACAAAATCTAAATATTGCAAGAACCTTATTTTTAGTTTATTCCTACTCCATCTAATCAATAAATAATAGTATAATTCGAGAATTGTTGTTGAGGACTTACTTTCTCGTGAGGCACTGTATAAATACTCACATTTAAAAAAAAAATTCCCAAAAATTTGCAAGGTAAGGTATAGTTAAAAGTTCAGTATTAGATAAATAAGGACTTCAACAAATGGTTGATTATGGGGAGATTAAAATATTTAAAAAAAATCATAATTCAGAAACTACTCAAGCTCTAATAAGCTCAAGCTCTTTATGGGGACCAAGCCTACTGTTTTTGAAAAAAATCTAAACAAAAAAAGAGTGTTAACGGAGTTTGAAATTAAAAAAACAAATTAGAAATCAAAAACAAAAAGCGATATCAATATGAAATTTTTAGTAAAAATCTAGCCAATTAAATCTGAATAAATCTAAACAAAAATGGAGAGTTAAGAGGGGTTTAAATATTAAAAAAATCCTATTCAGAAAAAAAAAATTTAAATTATCAGGAAAAATCAAACTCTATAAGGGGATAAAGCCTATTGATCCAGAAAAACTGATTAAAATTGGGGTTAAGGAATCTTTTAAACTGTACACTTTGATTAAAAGTCCTTGCAGTTTTTGATTTAAAATATTTACACCGAAAATTTAAAATAATTTCTTCAATTGTTGAGCAGTGTATTTTCTTGCATATAAAAATTAATTCGGGTTGAAGGACTTTCCATACTCACATATTCTGTCGTTTTACAAAAACTTTATTCTCAAAATCATATATTCACATCAGAAGCATCCGCAGATTGCTTACTGAGATGGGCTGCACCGTCTAATCCCAGATCCGATATTATATGTACATCTTCCTGCCTCAGATGGAATCATATTGATTCATATTCTCTCAAAGGACACTGATAATACTCCAGATACTTTTTGTGTCACGTTATCTTTTTTTTATATATATATATATATATAATTGAATTAATGGATAGGTATAATTTCAAAAAATTTTATTTTGTTAAGAAAATACTAGAATAAAAATGATTATTAAAATTAGGTACGAACATAAAATAATATTATTTTAAGAATATAATTATGACTCCTTTAAAAATGTCGTTTTTAATATATTTTCTTCACTTATAGGGGGTGTACCAATGACAATAACTTGACCCACATATATTCATAAAGGAAGGAGTTTTTAAAAATTTAAAAATAGTACTTTAACTTTTTTTAGTAAAGTTGGGTGTCATCCGCGTAAAGTTAATTTTATGACTATAATTGGTAAATTGGTATCACTTTACTTACTTTGAAACTGTCTGGGAACTGACTATCACAAATTTGCCAATTGTTGACAAAAGGAACTATACGTTTCTTTGATGATTTGGGAACTTAAACCGTAGATATCATAACATGAAGAGCTTTTCAATGTTTTGATGGCTTCTTCAACTTCAAAAGATTCAGTTCGTTCAATAAAGAAGAAATCACGGGGTTTAAGACAATTGTCCAAAAAGTCTGTGACCTGATGTTCGGTGTGTGGCAAGAAACATATCATTCTGCAATACTGGACAAATAATTATTGAACACTTCTGGGATAATATCACATGAGGAACTTCTATTATTGGTGACATTTCGTTCAAAATTAATTAATTTCCAATTATATTTTGACTTATTTGATGAATTTTTTAAAAAAGAATCGTAGGCTGATCTTTTGGCATCTTTGTAAATAGTGAATATAAATTAAATATAGGAACTGTTTAAATAAAACAACATTACATTATCGTTAAAAAACTTTGTTCAAGTACTAAACATCTAACATTTCCACCCTGTCTCCCTACCATACTAATTCCCATAATAATAACCAAAAGTGTAATTTTTCTATAAACGAACCACCCCATCCAAGAGAGATCTATACAAAAAAAATAAAGTAAAAAAAGAATAATCGGATCTTTGCAGGGTTTTGCGGCCGTATGGAGTGTCTGGCTATATTTACAAGAACGGAATATTGGAACACACCGGGGGTTAAAAAGAGTCAAAGCCGGCAAAGGGTTAGGGTTTAAAAGGGATGCTTTAAATTCACCTATAAACCTTTCTTGTGCAGATGTCATGTGTTGCACAAATTTCTATCAATTATGAGTCGAGACGGTTAGGTAGTTTAAAGTTTGGTGTCGAGTTGAAAAGGTTCGTCTGGTGTGCAATGAGCAAGTTGAATGTGTTACGTGAAAATTTATATTTTATGTGCATTATATTGATGTTTCTTTCTACTTACGTAGTAATATCGGATGATTTATAATATAAAATGTGTGTGAGAATCCGACGCATATCCTATATCTTTTTTACTCAAAATAATCTAAGTTTAGCCAAAAATATTTCGTCTTCTTAATAATTAAATCAGCATTAGAATTGGTGCTTATTTTAATTATTCGTGTTTAAGTTTTAAATAAAAATTTAAGAGATTTTAATAAGGCATTCTTCAAAAGTTGTTTGTGCAACAAGAGGAGAAGATGGTCACATCGCATGCAGACGAAAAGTGCATATGGACAATATATTTTTTCTACGACCTACTAAATAGAATTACAACATTAAAAACGTAATTTAGAGAATATTAAGATAAAATAACCATTTTAAAAAGAGCGAATACAAACATTTGAATTTATTATTTTTTTTTAATCCATAAAACAAAATAGACTTGAATCCAAAAAATCAAAAATTTTTCACGCTTGGAATCCAGGCCCTTTTGAACGAAAATCCAACATCTTAAGGCGGGACCACATCAATAAATGTTTTCGTTGTGCGTTGTATTTAACGCAAGTTTATAAAAATAAATTGCCATTCGTTTGTCCACGATTTGTTAACGATTTTCCAACAAAAATTTCCGTTTGTCCACCCTTCAAAAACAATTATAGCAAATTTAAAAATTTGAGCCAAATTTCACAGCACCGACATAAAAGCTTTTTGATAATTTCAAAGTGACATTCGATTGTCCACGATTAGTCTACGTTTGTTCAACCAAAATTTTCGTTTGTCCACCCCGCAATAGCAAGATATTTAAAAAATAAAAGAAATAATGCAGATGGTCTTTGGGGACAACCCAAATACAGTTCATTGAATTAGACACGGCAATCGTTTGTGCACACATTATTTTCGTTTTGCCCATGCCCAATTTTGGTTTGTCCACCCTTCAAAACAAAATTATAGCAAATTTAAAAATTTGAGCCAAATTTCACAGCATCGCCATAAAAACTTATAATAATTTTAAAGTGGCATTCGATTGTCCACGATTTTTCCACGTTTGTTCAACCAAAATTTTCGTTCGTCCACCTTTCAAAACCGAGATATAATTAAAAAATAAAAAAATAATGGAGATGGTATTTAGGGACAAACCTACGGAAGCG